TTTACTTTCATCAATCAGTTCCCAACCTACATTCAATAGGGTGACTCCCCTTTTCACCCACACCCACACATAATTATAAAACCTGGCAAATAATTTTGTTTCAAAAGTCTTGATTATAAATCATAATAACGTTATCTAGTCAAAAAAAAAAAAAGTCTTATAAATTTGTGATTTATTGTTTCCTGTAAGAAATGTAATCCAATGTTCTGATACAATAATATCTTCTTTATTTTAGATGTTTGCACAAGAATGGTGGCCATCTCTGGTACACCCCAGAGATGTGTGGGAGAATCATCATAGTCTGTTGTATCCTGCACAATTTTTGTCAGGAAAACAACGACCTGCACCATGAGGATGAAGATCCTGACATTGATGCAAGTGTTCATGACAATGTGTGTTTGTTGGTCCTGTACTTTCCTCTGGTCTCAGGACCAGGGAAGAAATAATCAGGAACTTCTTTACACATTAGTCATGTACACCTGCCTCGATGTCAGGATCTTCAACTCAGCAGCCACATGAATCTGCCTTATGGTACACCAAGAGCCTTTTCAACAACACTTCTGTATTTTGACTCTCAGAAAATGCCTCTTCCTCTCAATGATCGGCCCCAGACATCATGATTGGAGACAGTGGAAATACTGCCACTGAGTGGGTAGCCACGTGGCATTTCCTACCTTGTACATCTCTTGTATGGTACAGATATTGAAAATGAAGCTGTCGTGGGTTGTTAGCCAGCCCACCTTGGAACTACATTTGTACACTGGAAACTTTCCGCAAACAAACATATTCACATCAAAGGAATCAGGACGGAACTTTTATTGGAGCTAGAATAGCACTGATGGCACTGATGACCTTCTGGAAGCCAAATATATGTTTAACTCTCCTAACATCTCCCTCTTTACTTGGGAACTTGATATGCAGTGATTGGACACAGCATGGATACCGATGATGATGCCAGATCAAAGTTGTCTCTCTGCCACCACTTTGATCTGACCCAGTAGAGACTACATGTAAAGCAGCAATAATTGGTGTAGCAAGCACTTGTGACAGTGTTTAAGACCTCGTGGTCAGTCTTCTTTAAGGTTCTTCATTGATCCCTTGAGTCAGTTTGAGCACATTCTCTGAAGTCATGCAGGATCTCTTATGAAATAGATGAGGTTGGAACTCTAGCATAGGATCTCCGAGTCTCACANCTTGGTTATAAATCATAATAACGTTAACTAGTCAAAAAAAAAAAAAAAAAAAAGTCTTATAAATTTGTGATTTATTGTTTCCTGTAAGAAATATAATCAAATGTTCTGATACAATAATATCTTCTTTATTTTAGGTGTATGCACAAGAATGGTGGTCATCTCTGGTACACCCCAGAGATGTGTGGGAGAATCATCATGGTCTGTTGTATCCTGCACAATTTTTGTCAGGAAAACAACGACCCGCACCATGAGGATGAAGATCCTGACATTGATGCAAGTGTTCATGACAATGTGTGTTTGTTGGTCCTGTACTTGCCTCTGGTCTCAGGACCAGGGAAGAAATAATCAGGAACTTCTTTACACATTAGTCATGTACACCTGCCTCGATGTCAGGATCTTCAACTCAGCAGCCACATGAATCTGCCTTATGGTACACCAAAAGCCTTTTCAACAACACTTCTGTATTTTGACTCTCAGAAAATGCCTCTTCCTCTCAATGATCGGCCCCAGGATTAATGACATCATGATTGGAGACAGTGGAAATACTGCCTCTGAGTGGGTAGCCACGTGGCATTTCCTACCTTGTACATCTCTTGTATGGTACAGATATTGAAAATGAAGCTGTCGTGGGTTGTTAGCCAGCCCACCTTGGAACTACATTTGTACACTGAAAACTTTCCACAAACAAACATATTCACATCAAAGGAATCAGGATGGAACTTTTATTGGAGCTAGAATAGCACTGATGGCACTGATGACCTTCTGAAAGCCAAATATATGTTTAACTCTCCTAACATCTCCCTCTTTACTTGGGAACTTGATATGCAGTGATTGGACACAGCATGGATACCGACAATGATGCCAGATCAAGGTTGTCTCTCTGCCACCACTTTGATCTGACCCAGTAGAGACTACATGTAAAGCAGCAATAATTGGTGTAGGAAGCACTTGTGACAGTGTTTAAGACCTCGTGGTCAGTCTTCTTTAAGGTTCTTCATTGATCCCTTGAGTCAGTTTGAGCACATTCTCTGAAGTTATGCAGGATCTCTTATGAAATAGATGAGGTTGGAACTCTAGCATAGGATCTCCGAGTCTCACACACACACTTCCATATTCTCCTGGTATTTTTCTCTAACTCTCAGTTGGATCATTTATGAATCATTGTGGGATGAATACGGATTATTGTTTCATTAAACAAAATAATGAAAATTGATGTTCTCTTTAAAATGTCATAATTTATTATATTTTGCATATAATACTAAGAACTGAAATTTAAAATAAGTGTACAAAATGACAAAGGTGTACAGGTTTGATTTAATATAACAGCTAGTGTTCATGCAGGAAATTTAATAACAAATTCCAGGAATCAAAAAGACTGATACTTTAAGTCAATTACATTTGAAGTACACTTTCAATGCAAATAGGGCAAAATAAAATCACTTTAAAGTTTATGTAAGAAACAAAACAGACGGTCAAGTTATGTTTTACATAAATTTTTTTATTTTATGAAATAATAACATAATAATAATAATAATAATAATAATAATAATAATAATTTATTAAGCCAATAAAATACAAATGTATAAAATCGGGAATCTTTTGCCCTGAAGTAGCGCCATTGAAATATAAAGAATGAAAATTAAAATTATATGTTAGAGTTTAAAATAGTTACTGCCGAAGGATAAAAGCTATTTAAAAATCGCTTACTACCCTTAAAAGCTAAGAGTCTCGAATTGCTAGGTAAAAATTTAAAAAGGGTATGGGCTGGATGGGAACTGTTTGTCATTATTGATAATGTTTTCTTTTTAGTCCTGTCTAGATATATAGCATGGACGGGAGTTAGATCAGTTCCAATTACAATCTCTGCAGTTTCGACGATCTTTTCCAACTTGTTCCTCTCCTCCACAGTTGCACGTCCATACCAAACAGTTACTGAATAAGTTAAAATACTCTCTAAAACACACCTGTAAAAGTTCGTTAGAATAAACACATTTCTGGTAAAAGCTTTCAATTTCGTTAAGAAATACATTTGTTGACGTGCCTTTTTCAATAGCTTCGTGATGTTATCGCCCAAGATTAACCTATTATTCAGCTGAACCCCTAGTAATTTATAATTGGAAACCTGTTCGACCGCTTTACCGTTAACTTCCAAGGGATTTTTACTTGTCTGATTTCTTCTGAAGTCTATGATCATTTCTTTTGTTTTGCTCACATTTAATATCAAGTCATTGTCTGTGCACCAATTTACTAAACTTGTAACCGACTGCCTGTATGACATCTCATCATTATGGTGTATCAAGCCGACTAAAGTTGTGTCATTGGCAATCTTCATTAAAAATGTATTTTCCTCTCTCGCCACACAGTCGTGGGTGAATAACGTATATAAACAAGGTGATAAGACGCAGCCCTGGGGTGTGCCAGTGTTTAAAACTATAGTGTCCGAGAAGTTAAAACCGACTTTTACTGACTGCTTTCTATTTCAAAGAAAATCTAAAATCCAATCGCAGAGTGCTAGTGGAAAATTAAGATCATCCAAAAGTTTAAAATACAATTTGCTTGGTACAATAGTATTAAATGCTGAGCTATAGTCAACAAATAAAATTCTAACATAGGCATTTTTACAATCGAGATGTTCGAGAACTTTGTGTAAACACATAGAAAGAGCATCGTCTACACTTCTGTTACTGCGGTAGGCAAATTGGAGTGGATCAAAGCTATTTGGCACTAAAGTTTTAATAAAAGACAAAACAAGTTTTTCGAATATCTTCATAGGCACCGGTGTCAAAGCAACAGGACGGAGATCATTTAAATTCTCTACAGTTTTACTTTTTGGCACAGGTATGATGGTTGCTGTCTTCCATATTTCAGGCACTCTGCACATTTCAATTGACCAGTTGAATATTTCCGCGAACACATCTGAAAGCTGGGCTGCGCATTCCTTTAAAAGTCGTGATGTTATACCGTCAGGGCCTGGAGCTTTCCTGGTGTTTAAAGCCGAGAAATAACACTTGACTTGCCATGATTGAATAGTAAATGGCGGCACGCACTCCCCTTGGGTTGGTGTGTGGACCTGAGTGTGGTTGGTCCTATCGAAACGAGAGTAAAACTCATTCAAATTGTTAGGGAGTGTGGAGTCCTCTGTATCAACGGCATGTCTGGACCCTTTATACTGTGTGACAAGAGCGATATTGTCCCAGAGATCCTTTGCACTATTGGACTGGAATTTCTGTTCGATTTTTGTATTCATCTTTTTCTTTGCTTTTTTGATGGCAGTTTTTAGGTCCAATTTTTTTTTTACGATATGCTGCAACATCTGTTTCTTTCTCACGGTACGCTTGGTCTTTAGCTTTTATAAGATTCTTTATGTTCTTGTCAACCCACAGTTTAGTGTTCGGGTATTGCTTAATAGTCCTAGAAGGAATGCAGATCTCTTCACAAAACTTGATGTATTCAGTTACCACTAGAGTGAAGTCATGGATGCTGTTGTCCGATTTAAGGGCTGCCCAATCAGTGGATTCGAAGCAATCATGCAAGCTGTCTATCGCAGACTTTGAGAAGGATTTCACGTTTCGGGATAATGGTTTCGCACTTTTCAACGCAGTTCTGTAGACAGGTATCAGAAATACAGTGCAGTGGTCCGAATTTCCAAGGCTCGATCGCTTAATTTTTTATTTTATGAAAATATAAAATATAAAAATAATATTATAAACAATTTCCTCAATGTATATTCTTGTCTAAATTAAAGTTAATAAGTACAATATAAAAATAAAGTCCTTTTCAAGGACAAAAGCAAATGAAAACTATCCCTTCTAAAAGATTTGTAACAAATTCCAGTTCTTTGCCGAGGTCATAAACTTAGTTTAAAATACAGCACTGAATGATCAAACTGATTCACATATTGAAAATTACTGAATGAAAAATACTGAAAAATTATCAAAAAGAAATTGCATAAATTAAAGGAAAAAAAATAATACAGTCAAGTAGGCATGTATATCCTTATAATCATTCTTGTACGTAAAAAAATAAGTAACAAAGTTTTATTTTTCATTATATTTGTGGTGGCAGGGTCCACAATAGGGATTTTGCCAATTTTGATGCAATATAACATAATACTCAACAGCATATTCACTACAAAATTAAAATAATATATGTGAAAGTTCACAGTACAGGGATGATGACTGCAAAATCAGATGCAACTAATGGCTAGTACAGTGATGTACAGTAACNTAGCATAGGATCTCTGAGTCTCACACACACACTTCCATATTCTCCTGGTATTTTTCTCTAACTCTCAGTTGGATCATTTATGAATCATTGTGGGATGAATACGGATTATTGTTTCATTAAACAAAAAAATGAAATTTGATGTTCTCTTTAAAATGTCATAATTTATTATATTTTGCATATAATACTAAGAACTGAAATTTAAAATAAGTGTACAAAATGACAAAGGTGTACAGGTTTGATTTAATATAACAGCTAGTGTTCATGCAGGAAATTTAATAACAAATTCCAGGAATCAAAAAGACTGATACTTTAAGTCAATTACTTTTGAAGTACACTTTCAATGCAAATAGGGCAAAATAAAATCACTTTAAAGTTTATGTAAGAAACAAAACAGACGGTCAAGTTATGTTTTACATAAATTTTTTATTTCATGAAATAATAACATTATGAAAATATAAAAATAATATTATAAACAATTTCATAAATGTATATTCTTGTCTAAATTAAAGTTAATAAGTACAATATAAAAATAAAGTCCTTTTCAAGGACAAAAGCAAATGAAAACTATCCCTTCTAAAAGATTTGTAACAAATTCCAGTTCTTTGCCGAGGTCATAAACTTAGTTTAAAATACAGCACTGAATGATCAAACTGATTCACATATTGAAAATTACTGAATGAAAAATACTGAAAAATTATCAAAAAGAAATTGCATAAATTAAAGGAAAAAAATAATACAGTCAAGTTGGCATGTATATCCTTATAATCATTCTTGTACGTAAAAAAATAAGTAACAAAGTTTTATTTTTCATTATATTTGTGGTGGCAGGGTCCACAATAGGGATTTTGCCAATTTTGATGCAATATAACATAATACTCAACAGCATATTCACTACAAAATTAAAATAATATAACTATATGTGAAAGTTCACAGTACAGGGATGATGACTGCAAAAACAGATGCAACTAATGGCTAGTACAGTGATGTACAGTAACATACAGCTAGTATGTGTCTTGGCAAAAACATAAAATATCATGATCCCAATAAGATGCACTCACTGGTAAGTATCTACAAGAGAATCGCACTTCATTACATCCAACTTCATTTCACAGTATTCTGTTATTTTTTCAAATAACACTTAGTTACTTTTGTCAATTTCTAATCTCTCCCTTTCTAATTGTAAACGCTCTTTTTCTACTTTCAACCTCTCCTCTAATGCTAAGCGACCCTTCTCTACGTTGTAAAGCCTTTCACTTACATCTGAAATTTGAAGATGTATGTAATTAATAATTAAATATAAAAATGATATAATAAGAACTCAATCTTTTCAATATTCTAAATTTTACAGATACTGTACTTTTAAGTCAATGTGATAATTTTTCATAAATGAACATATTCCTGTTGAGTTGCAGCAACAAAAATGAAAAGCCAACCATCTGACAATGTTGAACGCTTTCATAAGCTATATGTTTGAAATTACCAATAAAGTTTCATTTGTTAATAGGTATAGAAATAATTAACTCATATGTTTCAACCAATTATAGACTGAAAAGCACACCTGGCTGCCCACAGATGGTAATGCCTACCACAGCCCTCATTTCCCTGATGAAGTCTGGCTGTAAGCAAAACCCTATATACATAGGTATATACATAGGTATATACATAGGTATGATTTAAGAGCATTACTTATTCAAACACAAATGTAAATATTAAAGGGGGTCTTTCCGATATGAGGGGAAATAAAACATATCCCAAACTTTTTCTTATATATGAAGGTCACGATCTAAACCAAAATTCGCCTTTGAGGTAGACGGCAATCAAAATAATTAATTATTTCACATTCGAGTCTGTATTGGAGAACCTCCTCTCCCCAAAATAGAGCGAACGTCAAATGCAGATGTTCCCACGGTCTTAGCCAATCAGAGTCTGCATTACTAAGCTCTCTGGCCAAAAATAGACAAGACGTCACGTGCAGGTGTACACACGGTTTTAGCCAATGATAGTGCGCATGCCAGGTAATACACGCATTCGGGCAAGAAGAAAGAATTTATGGCGGAGGAGTTCGAAGTAAGTTGCTTTCATATGTATACGCGTTAGTTACATCGTTTATCCTTTATTATTATTCAACATATGAGAACATAAAGATTTAAAGTTTAAGTTTTGGTCGGTGGAATAGTCTAGAAAGTCAAAAAATATTTCGGAATTGATGCGTGAGAGCCGGACGATAGTGCTTGATATCGTAATTTGTCATGTCGAAGTCAAACACCGAAAACGAAGAAGGATTGAGGAGGAAACGCATCAGCGACATCATAACAGACAGTCGTACTGTACATATCAGTTGGATTACACCTTTTCATAGATAGCTATGAACGTCAATTGAAGTCCGTTGTTTGCTTGCCTGTTTTCTGTTTCAATTTGACTAATATTTGTTGCAACTTTTCAGTTTTACCAATTTCATACCTTTTAGATTGAAAGAATTGTTGAGTCGGATGATGATACAAGCAGTCCGAGCAGCCCAGAACAAGAAGAACCTTCCAGGTAAGGATCTCCATTTTACTGTCAAATGTGATCAGTAGCCATCATTTTTACGCGTCATGTAGGCCCTAGCGTAACCTTACCTAGTATGCCATATATTTATAAATGACTTAGACCTTAGTGCTTCTTAATCTTACTTTAACTGAAGACAAGCATGTTATTACTTCAATAGCATTTATTTATTTCCTTTCTTTCTTTCTTTTTAATTGTAAAGCAGTACCAGTTCAGGTGGTGCCAGCCAAAGAAAGCCAGAAAGACGAGAAGGAAGATCAGGGAGACCACCAACAAGATTAAGGGGGGTTGGTCGTGGTGCAGGCAGCAGAGCAGAGCCAGTGGCAGGTCCAAGCACCAGTGGTTTGAGGCAGGGAAGAGGCAGGAGATCAGGAGTAAGGGGCAGGACATCAGGAGGAAGAGGCAGGACATCAAGAGGAAGAGGCAGGAGATCAGGAGGAAGAGGAAGGGAATTTCGGTTGACTGAGGAACAAGAAGAAAGAATAAGAGATCTCCGAGAGGCCAGGCACAAAGAACTAGAGGTATGAATTATGTTGAAATCTACATTGGATATAAGAATTTTAGGTGTTGCCATATAACCATACACAGCTGCCATTGATATATCCCTTTCTTTAGTGTTTAGTATTTATATATGTCTTTTTTTCCAAAAACTACTCTAATTATCTAATATCACTAGAAATGTCAGACCAAAAAGGCTAATATTGACTTTTTATAAATTGACAGAGCATGTGTGATGGTGTGGACAAGGAGGTCCTAAAAGGTATAGTGGTGAAAGTGTGTGACCGGAATCCTGCCCTGGCACTGGACATAAAGAAGATTTTGCAGGAAAACCTACCTGGTGGCAGTGACCCAGAACCTTTACCTCCACAGCCTGATTCACCAGATTGGTGCATGTGTGGTGCATGTGTAGAAATGCCCACTGAAGCAGAGAGGCTGTGTTGTCAAAAGCCTCCTGCTGAGTGTAAAAGCAGAGACCCTGTAAGTGGCTAAGAATGTTTAAAATGCAGGTGTAATGTTTACAATTTTTAAGAAGAAATGTTTCATTCGACATTTATTTGTAATATCTTCCTCATGTTGTATAATGACAAATTAAAATCAATTAAAAATGCAGTTATGATTAACATGTTTCTTTCTTACAATCATGAACTTAGTTTTTTTTTTTATTATTTTTTTGTTGTTATTTTATTTGCAGGTAATGGAATTAAATGTAACAGACGAATTTCATCTTGGGATTATGCGAGTAGCAAGGGGGGACATCCTGGGCTTCCAAAATGAAGATAGGCAGCCAGGAGAAGAGGACAATGCTGCCATGCGGCACAATGCCTATCGTAGTTTCATAATGTGGCAATATAACAGGCTTACTCCTGGTGACCGCAGAGTAATTCCGTCCTGTTGTGTTTGGTTCATTAGGAATAAGTTCCCCTCTCCCACAGGTCAGTATAGGGGATTTGATCCAGGGCGTATAGTTTAGAAGAGCAATGGACAGGGGATGGGAATGGGCCATCTCCCACTCATCCATTGGTGACTTGCTGCAGCAGTAAGGGGATGGGAATGGGCCATCTCCCACTCACCTGCTGTGTATGTCCACTGCATTTGTCTGCTAATAAGTTCAATAGATTTTTTATGATTAAAGAACAACAATTGTCACCAGGAGTTAGTCTGTTTACATGTCATTCTTTTCAAACATATAGTTTATTTTCTACATCATGTGTTATCAAACTCTCTGTGGATATCTGAGATTCAAATCTGGTTATCATTTCCTTATTGGTTTTAGTGTAGAAATTTGTATTTCAAGATGTCTTAGAAGATAAGATTGTGTACTTGTTGCACTTTTACTAGAAGTCATGCATTAATTGATATATAGTTATCAGTTTATCATGTGCGCCATTTTAAATCTGTTGTTGATTTAAGATATACTCATCATTCTTGTAATTTTGATTACATAAAAATGTCAGTGTCTAATCTTTTAAATGTTAAAAGTTTGTTTTTTGGTATGTGACTCCATGTGTATATAACTTCATATTTTAAAAATGCCTTTCATGGCTTAGTATAGATAATTATTTATTTATAGTATAGATATTTATTACTTATTCAACATCATCTTTCAAGATAAGTTTGTGTTGAGATATTGTATAAAAGAAACACATCAATTAATATAATGTTATCAGATTACCATGAGGCCTGTTTTAAATCTGTTTAAACAGTAAAGTAGAGATTATTATCATTTTTATTTATCAGTGTAATCAATGTTGGTTTATGATTAGGGAAGTAAGAAAAACAGCTATGGTAAAGTTACATTTATTTTCTACATTTAAAACATTAAACTGTATGAAGTCTGCTCATACTTGTAACTGTTATCAATAATTGTCAAAAGCAAGATCTTGCAATGAATGAACATGCATGCTGGCATTAAACTATTTTATCTAATTTATATGTTCATAAAGTGAGCATCTCTTGTAAATAATGGAGATTTACAGTGCTTATTCTTTTCTGCAGATCACATTATTGAACATGAACTATATTCAATGTAATAACTGTATTCACTGCTGAGACTGATAAAAACAAATGTCACAAAATTTACTTAAATCTGGACTTTCTGTCTCTGACTAGAACATCTTTGGGGGGTGCAGGGACTGGGGCTGTATTTGGCCCAAGGTTCCTTGGGTCCCATGGTTCCAACAGCACCCTAGCTGCTAAAGGCCGTGCACTTGTCATTCTCATGTCAAATGCCAGAGTTTGTAAGATGTGGATGTAGTCATAAGTCTTTCTAATGGCTTGAGGTTTCACTATCCATGATTTGGCATGTTTGCTGTAACACTTAGTATACCTGAAATAAAACAGTGGCAAGACTTTAATTCGTTTTCATGAAAATGACTTTGCATGTAATAACCTTTAAAATATGAGTTTACAAGTGAAAATAACCATAGTAACAAGTTTTCTTTGGCACATAGACTTTAAAAACGGAATTATATATTAATTTTTGCTGTTTACCTTATTTCACCGGATTCCAAGTCAACTGCAGCTCCTCTATCTTTATGGTTCTGATAATCCATGACTGCCAAGTAATTACGTGCCCTGTATCCAGGTGGCTTGTAGGAATTTCTTTTTGAGCAATACATTAGAATGTGAGAGTTAATACTCTCAATGTGTCCCGTGTGTCTAAAAAAAAGAAAAACAAAAAATTGAACATCCAGTTATTTGTAATAAGCGGTGTTATTTATTGGTTTCTATCAATGGAGTCATATTTGGCATTGAAATAATACCCTTGCCTTGAATTGAAATAAAAAACTTTGCAATCAATTACAAATACCAACAAAAATAATTAACACCATTGTTAATTTTTGTTCTTTTCCACACCTGTTATTGACATAGTGTCCAATGTCCTTTTGGAATCTTTTGTTAAGTAGAATCTGCCCCAATGCAGCCAGTCCCTGTGAAGATGGTTCCAACCACTTCTTCATTCTCTCTTCATCAGGCGGTAGGGGGTTGTGTTCACACTTGGCTGTCCCAAAACCATCACCTGATAACCATTCGTGCTCATTTTGCACATGGTGCATTGCACCTCTCCACTTTGACTAAATAAAAAATCAGAATTCATTTAGTAAACAAGAAATGTGAAAAATTAAAAATGTCTATATAGGCAGTTCAAAAGAAACAATGAACATTTCTTGTCAATGATGTTAAAGGCAGGATCAAACTCACCAGGAACTTTCCATGACTTCCCTCACAAGTCCTAGCACATTCCCAAAAATGGGTGCATAAGTCCTTGCTCCATGGGATAATATCGCGCGTAGCCTTTTTCTGTCCTGCCTGTGATTGTAAATAAGATGTCATTTTAAACATGGAAATATACCAATATGCAGCATTCAATGTTTTGTACAAGTATTTTATGTTTATATTTTTAACAATGTTTTGGTTTATTTGTGAAAATAACTACCTGCCAAATAAGAATTATTTTCAGGAATTAATCAGCATCAAAATAAGACATTCGTAAATTAAAATTCTATGGGTCACTGTTGGTCTTTATACAATTTGATCAAAATAGATAAATTTCAAAACTTACCGCAATAATTTTCTTTGCTAAGTTTTTGGTACCATGCCACACATCCCAAGAATGTTTCATGCCAGGCTCGTTTTTCCCTAAAATTTCAGATATAAAAAATTATCATGTCACAACAGTGGCATTTTGTGTAAGGGGAATCAAACTTGCTCTTTATTGTTAATTTGAACTTGGACAACAATTGAGGTTGCATTACTTGTTTGTCAATGTCATCACATAAAGATATGTTTGAACTTACTTATATGTGCAGCAATGCTAACATGAGCATCCGTGACAATCTCCACTACATTGATACCCCTCTCTCTAAGGAACCTGAGTGACCTCAGCAAGCCCTCTTTCTCCATGGCATTGCTATTTAGTTGGGTTTCTTTCTTCTCTACAACTTGAATGTCCAGGACATCCCCTGTCTCATAATTTGTGACTACATAAGTACAGTACTGGGCACTGTGTCCTGGACTATCCATCCTTCCATCACCTGAAAATATATACAGTTTTCCATCAAAAATCCATAACACTCATTTGAGGCAAAATATTTATTTGTTATAAATACTTGAGACACTATTTTACCAATTTCTCTTGTCTTATTTTAATTGTTAAGTAATACATCAGAGATATCTTCATACCAGCAATAATCACTTCCTTATTTTGGCAAGAGGCAAGGATCTCATCTTGCATTTGTCGAAAATGGTGTTCTACAGCAGGTATGCCATAATCCCTCTGTATAGCATAATAGGTCTTCTCACTAACAAATCCACTGTTCATCCACTGGGACATAAACCGAACTTTCCTGTAATTGTTCCCACTAAACAGAAGACTAGTGGACCAGAAAAAATCCCCAGCCAACATGCCTAGGTTCAACTTGGGTTGAGAGCACCACTGACCACCTCCATGGCCATCTGGGCATGACTGAAAAAAAAAAAAGAAATATATTTCAATTTCTTATCAAGATATGCAAATGCCCACCTGAAAATTAATTATAAAAAATGTGTTAAAATTGTTTACATTTTGATCATATGAAAAAATGCTGTACATTAATGTTTCAAATGTGCATCTTAATGTGGTGTGTAAACATATTACAAAATTACATTAGTGTAATACATTTGACCGGTTTTCTGCATGAAAATATGATATATAAAAGAGAAGATTTTAGAAAAACTGTATTAATAATAATAATGGACATAAGCAGTGTATGTGTGACAAGATTATAGGCCCACTGTTTGAGGATACCAGCACATAGTCATTGATAATAATCTTATTACATCTCACGTTTAATAAAAAATAAAACCTATATCCTACTTAGGGTAATGAGAGACTAAAACCTGTGATACTTCATTTAAATTCCTGAATGTTCTTTAAAATTATTACTTAATGGTAGAAGACTTGGTACAATTTACTAACCCCGTATTACAATGTAGTCACAAAGGTCTTTTACCTGAAATAGTGCCTTAATTTTATATTTATTAATTAAATATCCAGTGAGAGCAAGGGAGACCACCCCTCACCTCTGCAGCTTCAATATAGCTTGTAACTCAGTTGAACTCCCCGTATCAGAAAGACAGAGCACCATCGTAAATAATATCAGAAATACATTTATAAAGATTAACCCAAGAAATATTTTGGTTATAATCATAGATATTCTGAAATAAAGTGAAAAGGACAATGTAACCTACCCACTTCACATATGTTCCTGTGCCAGACTTCTGAAAGGACACCACATACTTTTTGCTGCAAGGGCAAGGTGGCAACAACTCTTCCAATAGCAGTCTAATAGATGATTCATAAGTCAGAAAACAACTTTGCCCCACAATTTCTTCAGCTGATGTCACTTTACTGAACAGCTTGCTGCCATCAGGAATAGGGCCTATCTCTACTTCCTCATCTCCAGGTAAAATATCATCATCTCCAGTGACTGTTGGCAGTTTCATCACCTCTTCAATATTGTTGTGTCTGGAATAAATATATACGTTTTATTTATTTTTTTTAAATACCTTTGTCACAAAATAGTATATATAGTAATTTCAAGTCTATTAATGGGAATTCATGTACATTTGCACATTGCATGTGTAATAACTTTGGAATTTTGATATGAAACTAATGAAATATCTCCACACATCCCCCCCCCCCCAAAAAAAAAAAAAAAAAAAGGTATTAAGTTAAAAATTATAATTATATCAAAACATATAGAGGAGATTGTAAAAAAAATATACGCACTGGAAAGATATGTCAGCTTTGTAATTTGGATAGGTATCATCATCATTATCCTCATTATATTCATCTTCAATTTCTTCATATGTGAGATTAACACTGAAATGAAAAGAAAGTCCAGTTGGCAATGAGGATGTAACTATACTACATATGTATTAAATGACAGGTGGAGTCATACCAGATTTCATAATACTTGACAAATACAAAAGTTAATGAAATAAACTATTTTTTCACAGTTATAACTAAAAAGGAGGTAAACATACCTCATATCATTGGGATCAAACATGGAAACTTTGCTTTCCCTTGCAGCTGCTTCTGGTCCACTACCAGCACTTTCTACACCTGACATGGGTGCACTGAATAAAGGAAATAAAAAAAAAATTAATATTTTTAGTAAAACACTTCACGTGCTATTGGATATAGCTCAAACTAACTGGTGGTATAAGTCCCATGGCAAAACAGCCATCGGACTTATAAAACTTGTAAAATAGTATCATATGAAAGGCTCCATTACCCATGGATGTCATCAGTCTTCACTGATCATTGTAACTCAATATGTACTCTTCCTGAATACAGTTTCAGAAAAGCTGGTGATTATATGAGTATGTTGGAAACAAAAAGTGACAGTCATTAAGATTGCACCAGAGAGAGTTCTTACAGAGGTGGATCCATCTACACAGGCCAATGGTATCTATGACAATGGGGTCAAATAATAACATGCATTACACTTGTTTCTATTGCAAGGTTTACAATGAATGGTGAAATAAACAGCTATTACAGGACTGGCAAGATTTTTTGTGAAAGCATGCGCTCTGGATAAGTAAAGTTTATGTGAAAAAAATAAATTACAAGTAAAACATAGTCTAATGGAAATCAATTACTTAGTTCAGACCAGTATCAGATTGGGAGGACATGAAGATTTCTAATAATGCAGGTCCTCCAGACCGTCAGAGCCTAAAAATTTATCCTGATGGCTGTTAAGTTATCANAAAAAAAAAATTAATATTTTTAGTAAAACACTTCACGTGCTATTGGATATAGCTCAAACTAACTGGTGGTATAAGTCCCATGGCAAAACAGCCATCGGACTTATAAAACTTGTAAAATAGTATCATATGAAAGGCTCCATTACCCATGGATGTCATCAGTCTTCACTGATCATTGTAACTCAATATGTACTCTTCCTGAATACAGTTTCAGAAAAGCTGGTGATTATATGAGTATGTTGGAAACAAAAAGTGACAGTCATTCAGATTGCACCAGAGAGAGTTCTTACAGAGGTGGATCCATCTACACAGGCCAATGGTATCTATGACAATGGGGTCAAATAATAACATGCATTACACTTGTTTCTATTGCAAGGTTTACAATGAATGGTGAAATAAACAGCTATTACAGGACTGGCAAGATTTTTTGTGAAAGCATGCGCTCTGGATAAGTAAAGTTTATGTGAAAAAAATAAATTACAAGTAAAACATAGTCTAATGGAAATCAATTACTTAGTTCAGACCAGTATATATCAGATTGGGAGGACATGAAGATTTCTAATAATACAGGTCCTCCAGACCGTCAGAGCCTAAAAATTTATCCTGATGGCTGTTAAGTTATCAAACACTTACTCTGACTCTGATTTTGACTCAATGTCACTCAACTGTATAGGGGGCAGTGGTTTTGAGCTGGCTGTGGGGGTACTGGTAGGCATACTGGTAGATGTCCGCTGTGCATAATACCTGCAGGGTTTTAAAAAATTACCATGACGGCGTGAGTCATTATATCCCCGGCATTCAACAATTCAAAACGTTTATGGCGAATAAAATTTAAATCATGGATGTTTACCTCGCTTACATACTCCAAAATTAATGTGCACACAATCTAAGATTGTACTTGTAGTGGGGAGATAGAGTCAAGTAGGACATTACGTAAGAAAGTGAGAATCTAGCTGTTTTGATACAAACCTGCCCACACTTCTTCCCTAAATAAATATACTCAAAACATTCTACGTGCGACACGGGTGCTCTGCCTAAAATGTATCGTGACATTTTCTACAATTCATTTGAGATGGTACTAACCTGTCCAACAGAATTTTCGCTAGTCGCTCGTGTGTTAGTTTTAGTTCATTTTTTAGCTCAGTCCATCTAGTTGATTGGCTTCCCAGTGAGATCAACGTTCTCTGCTTTTCCCTTTCTCTTTTTCTCTCTTTTTTCACTGGCGTGGGGAGTTTTTTCCTCCCTCTTTTCAATCCACGTGTAGTCGGAGTACCCTCCATAATTGGATTACATTAACATCCGGGTCTTCATCATACCGTAGTAAAAGTGCTAGTAGTATTCAGTCATATGCAAATTGAGGCACGTCCCAGAATTCCACGCGTAAGGGAGTAATGGCGAGAAGTTTAGACGAAAAAAAAAATGCTGCGCTTTTTTTTCTTTAAGTGATCTTAAAAACCTATACCTTGACCTTTATTTTCTCAACGGTTCCGTGTGAGACATGCTTCGGGGTTCAGGATCAAATAGGTAAAGTTTCAGAGAAAGGCCTATTTAAGCGTCTACAGCGGAAAGACATCCTTTAATGATCGTAACTTAAAATTTCAGTACACTAAGTTTCCTAAATAGCAAATTATGAGACCCCGACGGACTTACCTTGGCCACTAACATTTCTTTCTTTCCTACTGTTGAAAGCTCTCGTCTTCTAAGATATTCCTTCAATGCTTCTACGCTCCACATTGACACAATTTCATACATTTCATCCTTATTTAAAGATAAAACATTCAAGCTCCCGTTTCACAAAGAATCTTAAATCCAAAGTCGACTAGCTCGAGCTGGGTGGCCTAGCTAGGTCGACTTAGTTGAAGTCGACTAGGAGTGTTTCACAAAGAATCTAACGTCTTAGCTTGGCGTGCTTACCGTAGTCGACGCGCACGAGAAACTCTTCAAGAAAAGGAGGTGTAAAATTTCAAAAGTTTCACAAGACGTAACGTTTCATGGCCTCTTTCGGCCGAGAACAATCGTTTATCAACAATAAAAATCAGCCAAAACACAAACAAAGTTTGTTTTTGAACTTTATTGATTAGTTTAACTTTGATACAACTTCAAAGTATCAGTTAAACATTAGCTTGTCGTGGAACACTGCTGACGGACGCCTAGCGGTCAAAAAGATAAACAAACACGCGATCGGCTGTGTGAAGGTGTATTTTATTTTTTATTTCAAAATTCCATTAATGCCAGTGCTATTCAAAGATATTATAACACAATATCTTGAGGAGGTATGTTCTTTCCAAATTTTTGTTGTTTATGCTCTCATTTACCAAGTTTTAGTTGAGCTTGCCGACTTAAGTCTCCTCCCGAGGAGGCTTGACATCGTCGACTTACAGCTAAGAAAAAAAACGACGTAAGCGACCTTTTAGATTCTTAACACCTCAACCTGGTCAACCGGCATTAAAAATACACTGGCGCTCATTGGACGCCCTGACATTTGGGAGGACCCTTTTAAAATATCCATGACCGCACTCTCTTCCATAATAAAACCGCTTATCCAAATCTCTTATAGTTCGGCCTTTAAATCTCACCTAGCATCCCTGAACACGGAGGGCAAAAAATTACGTACCTACAGTACCTTCAAAAAAGATTTTAAAAGAGAAATATACACACAGTTAATCCACAAACCCAAATCTACATTCCTTTGCAAATTCAGGATAAGTGCCCACAATTTGGCAATTGAAAAGGGGCGNATCGTTTGACCTTTACTAGACTAATTCATTATAATTAAATTTCATACCTATGAACAACTGGCTGTCGTTTCCAGCCAATTCTTTGATACCCTCTACTGCAGTTTCTCCAATTATCTCTATTACCTGATCAGTATAAACATACACAGATATATGTATATATAAAATATGCCTCCTGGTGATTGGACATTCCAATAGGGCATGTCTGTGAAACTCAGTGTTGACGTATTCATATTCACAGAGTCAGTCTAAGTTAATTACTCTACTTAATATCATCTTGATGTTCTTAAAGCAATTAAATATAAAACGAAGTTAGCCATTGTGCAATTTAATATACAAATTCATTTTTTTTTAATAAATAACAAAATAACACCTTATTCTTCCACTCTGACAGTGGACTGGACCCCACACCACCACCTGTCTGCCGCATTGCTGCACGGCGTTTGGCCTCTTTGCGCTTAGTGCGAGACGTGAGGTCATGCCATTTTTTCCTGACCTCTCGGAAACTCCTCTTTATATGTGAAACACTGTTAACTCTAAAAGGAAAGCATTCATAATTTTAATAAAAAATATATAAGAATCACCACTTTATTGCTTCATCATACTGTGCATGACCATGTCAAGATGTGTTAATAGTGAGCAATTACAATTACTTTTATTGAATAACTACAACAACATACCAAACTAAATCATCAATAAGCAATAATTAAATATAATGGATATAATTTTAACATGGCAAAACAGACTACGATTAACAGAAAAGGACTGTTAATCATAATTATTCAACTTACTTTTCGGCAACTTCAGCCCATTGTTTTTCTTTGGACTTTAGAGTCACGGTGTTGGTGAAGGGGCTAAATACTGTAGGTCTACACGAGACCTCCTCCACCAACACCGCGAGCTCATCGGTTTTATAACGCTCCCTGCTGTGTTTCTCCATTTCACGTGCGATTTACTATCGTCCCTCAAAACAAAAAAGAACCGCTAGGCGTATGTATGCGTGTGTTCGAGACTATAATTGTACTTCCGGACAGGCATTTATTGCGTTGCGTTTGCTAAGGCTTCGAGATATCAGGTGGGTGCAATCGCACTAGCAAATAGCGCACGCTAGCTATGCTATAGCGCGTGCGCAACATAGCGATCCTTTCGAGATTCTGAGCCCAGCTCTCTCCAACACTACGGTCCTGGCAACAAACACAGCAGACACATCAAAGCCGAATACGTCCTCACCTGTCCCGATGGCAATCACAGTGCTATCCCCGGGACAAAGTCCAATCCGGAGACCAATCGCAACGAGCAAGGCTCACTCAAGACGATCGACACAAATGTCTCTCTAACGAAGCCTAATAATCACTTCGTGTATCTTTACGTACAGGCTAAGATGGTATATTAGATCTTAGGTACAGGTAACTATCAGTCGTTACGATGACAAATTGACGATTACTTTGAGATCTCACCTTGTAGAAGGGTGTGACTGGTTGAAAATCCGTTCCCTCCCATACGGTGGATGGAATGTGCTATTGTTCAACTGAGAAGTACAGTCACCGTTTGTTTGCTATCTACTCAAGATCTCCGTAAAGTTCAGAGGATCGTCAATATCGTTGAAAACAGTAAAAGCTAAATCCTGTCGACTGCGCCATTTGTAACCGAGTATCACAACAAACATCGACTGAATCTCAGAAGAATCAGCTTCTTTATTCCTGTACATACATACACGCCAACGTGACAGTGTGAGTAAAAATAACTCGAGAATACTGTTGAGCGGGTAATTTATATTTCCCGCTCACGTGACTAACAAAGCTCACGTGACCGCCAAAAGGGCGGTGTTGTAGATAAAGTAATAAAATTTGCTGGTTCAATTTTTTTTATTATTATTTTACAGTTTTACATTACTTCCACGTGTTGTAATGAACCTTTTACATATACCTTTGACAAATGTCCTAAACTTACATGTATATAATTCAGAACGCTTAATTCAAGCGTGGGCTCGAAATAGGACATTACGTTTTAGACTAACTTAGTGGATAACGCCATCCGAAGATGCCACGGTTCGTGTCAGATTTACGTAAGGTCGCGCAAAGAAAACCCAAGTCCACATAATGACCAGTTAAATGATTTTTTCGTTGACGCTCTTAACTACATGTTCTATAAGTGAAGTCTTCAAATCCTAACTACGTCTCGCTCCGTACACCGTCGATTCCAACCTCCTCCTTCGTTGCTTCCTTCTACATGACTCCCGAATATCTCCCCAGGTATTGATTATATCCTTATTCCTTATCTACATGTATGGTCCATGATGCAAACATTAACTACCTTTAATTGTATAATTAATTTCTTTACCTCGGCGTCATACACAGAGACCGCCGCATTACTCAAGAGCTATTAGACTACAAGACTTCGTATGATCTTTATGTCGAACCCGACATATTCCTTCCATTTTTTCCAGAAAAAAAAAAAACTTTTTTTTTCATTACTCATGTTGGAGACGTTCACTCTAAATAATAATATATACAATATTTACAAAGATTACGAAAATTACACATAATTACATGTTTTAGTGTACGCCCGGGGGAAAACCAGAGATAAAACCCTTTAATTTATATCTTTCTTTATCAAAATTGGGAAAAATAGCTCTGGAAACCGGGCAGCTGAGCGTCTTATAATCAAAGTCTTTTCACATGGAGATAACAGTATTTTAGAGTCTTTTAACACTGGCGTTAACACATTAAATTATTAAAAGTCTTTTAATTGAAATCATGAGGATTATCGTCGAACGGCAGGGCGATGTGCACATCGTGGCGTCATCGAGGTCCACCATTCAGCTGTAGAGTTGCTCGCTTTCAAGGATGCAGGTCGAAGTACTCAAACTCTGCTACGGACACAGGGCAGGCGGAGGGCGTTGTCACAATCCAACCATCTGAGAGCCGGGGACACAGCCAC